TAAAGGAAGAGGTAATTCTGCATCTCCAAAGTTTACCCCAAAGGTTTCTGACCTGTGAAATTGCAGTCAGAGAATAATCTACTTTGCTTCATGTTGTGTCCATAGAATTAAGAGTACTTGGAAATGATTCAATGAAAGCAGGCATGAGAGAAGTCAGCAAGAGCAGGCTGTGATTTTAAACCTGGAGGGGTAAGAGGTTGATATTGTCACAATTGAAAAAAAAAAAAGGTAAAACCAGATTTGTGGGAGACCATAACGAGTTCAGTTTGGAATTTTAATTTTTAAGGGAATAATATGGCATGTGATTTTTGATATAGGCTTAATTTATCAATTTTGATTCCCATGTTTAATTTAAAATATTCCTTTTTTGAAAATGCTGGCATTCAAGTTTAAAATGTGTTTCTAATGCTTGTAGCTCCTTGTTAGGTTTTACTTCAAGGCTGGAATTCCCAAATGTAATATCCTGTTCATTCACTGAACTGTATATTTAAAATCCATTTTGACCCCCAATTTGCAGTCCATCAAGAACTGCTGGATTTCTGCTTTGGCTATTGGGAGCAGATGTCACTGGGAATCTTATTTTCTGTTTCAACCCACTGTGAAAATGGAATCTATAGCAAGGGTCTGAGAGTTAGTTCCCTGTGAGGGCAGGAAAATGTGCCTGAGTCAGCAGGAGCCTCTCTTTTGTGACAGTATGCAAATTGGCAATGGCAGAGTTCAAGTGCATTCAAATATGTGACATTTTTCACAGCTCATCATTCTTTATCTCTTCTGTTTCTGAAAAACACTTGAGATTTGCGTGTAGGATAATTTCTGTTTTCCTGGTCATAAAATATTCGGTAGATTCACAGTCAAATTTACTTCCTTCATGAAAATCACAAGAGAAAAGCTTTGGCAGGGGTGTAGCCCAGTGGCAGAGCACAATTTGCACGTGAGGCCCTGAGTCCAATCCCCAGCACTGAATAAAAAAAGGAAAGAAAAGCTTTTGTTTTGTTTTTTTTTCTTCCATTCTGTTCCCTTCTTTGTGACAAATGAAGATAATTTGGAGATGTGAGGACGACAAGGAAAGTAACCTCATGAACTCAAAGACAGTAGAAATACAGGTGCCCATCTGTAACAGAGTCACACCTATTACATCTGCTCACCTTTACTCCCACCCCCTTTAACTGGGGCTGTGGAGACTTGTTATTCAACTTGAAATTTAGCTTGCCTGGATGGAATTACTTGCTATCAGATTTTTTTTCTAAATTGGGAAAGTAATCTTATAATCGTAATTCTTAGCACTAAGACTCCAAAGAAGTGAAATGATGTGACACTCAGTGCAGAGCTCATCGTTTCTCACGCCTAGCTGAGGGCCCATCTTCTGAGTCCCAGACCCCATGGAAGCCAGCACTGCTCAGGCACGATCTTATGGCACTCTGTTTTCTGGAGAAGTGAGTTTGTATGGAGGGCCCGTTATGTCCTGGGCATGGTGCTAGCTAGCCACAGTGCCTGTGGAGTGGACAAGACCCGGGTGCTGCCTTCAGAACTACTGAGAATAAAGTAGCCGACTCTCTTGGCATGTACTGTGCACTGCAGTGGGCGCCATTCTAATTCATATGTTATAGGAGATTGATCTGCTCCTATCCCTATAGTGTAGATAAGGAAACTGAGGGGCAGAGATATTCAACTATTGAATGTTGCAGATAGGATTTTCATCCAACTTTAAATAAGTTTTACATACACATACACATATATATTTCGGGGTTGGGTGTGGTACTGAGGATGGGACTTTAAACCACTGAGCTATGTCCCTGCTTTTTTGTTTTTTTATTTTGAAATGGGATTTTGCTAAATTTATGAGGCTGGTCTATAACTTGAAATCCTCCTGCCTCAGCCTCCTAAGGCACTGGGATTACCACCCCACCCAGCTGCTAAATAAGTAATTCTTACCTGGACACAACGGCCTACACCTGTAGTCCTAGGTACCGGGAGACTGGGACAGGAGGGTTACTTGATCCCAGGAATTCCAGGCTAGCCTGGGCAACATAGCAAGACCCCATCCCAAAATAAATAAGTAAATAAATATGTAAGTAAGTAATTCTTGTTGTTAACAAGTATTTTTGAAAGGCAAAGAAAGGTGTTGTGCTAAGGCAATTTCACCTAATCTAGGTGGTTGGATGAGTCAGAATTAGGCTGAGACTGATCCAGGTAAAGGTTATCTTTTTCTAGTCTATTCAAGGGCTACAAAGTGGAAGCCCAAAACTCAACAGCAGACATTTGTGTTTGTTGTTTGTCTAATGGGCATGTTTAAAACTTGTTGAATATGAATTGTTTGGTCTGAGCACTCCCTCACTAGTGTGCTGCTTATACTCATTTCACCTCATTCATTGCCATTTGAATGCATCTGAGTTTGTTGTCCCAAGTCCCTTCTGGGAGAGATGGTCTTCACCCCAATTTAATCAGGAATCTCTTGGCTACAAATGACAGAACTTCAACTTGACCTTATTTAAGCAAAAGGGGAAATTACACATATAGAGCACCATTTTTCATATCTCTGGTTGTATACAAAGTATATTCACACAAATTCGTGTCTTCATACATGTACTTTGGATACTAATGTCCATCACATTCCACCATCATTTCTAACCCAATGCTTCCTCCCTTCCCCTCCCACCCCTCTGCCCTATCTAGAGTTCGTCTATTCCTCCCATGCTCCCTCTCCCTACCCCACTCTGATGGTTTTGGTTTTCTTCCCCCATCCCAAGTTCAAAACAGGCAGGCATGACTTGTTCTGACCCAGCATTGAACCTAATAATGGAATCGCTGACTAAGAGCCTCCTGTGTTGTTGGAGGTCAGCAGTGCTTTCCCTTCCCCTTGCCATTTGCTCTTGGTTGGGAGCAAGTTGTGTCTGGGTTAACTTCTGGCTTAGCAAATAATTAGCTTCTCTGTGCCTCAGTTGCCTCTACTCTAAAAAGAAATTATAATAGTACGTTATCGTGTACATCAGTAAGTGTGTAATGAGCCTAGCTCAGAAGCAGGGACAGAGTCAGTGCTCAGTAGAAACCAGCTGTCGTTATTATCATCCTCAGTACTACCAGCCCCTTCCCTGGGTTCAGAGGGCTGAAGGTAGTCAGCCTGAGAAATGAGATTGGCCCAGGCATTGTGATAAATAGAAAGATAGTCCATTTTCAGAATATAACATTTAGCCTTAGTTGTATTCAATGTTAGCCATTTTAATTGTAGCCCTTTGTCCACCCCAGTTTTAAAATGAGCTAATCATGTTGATGGTACCCCCCAAGCTCCTCTAGTCGGGGCGAAGGGCTGTGCTACATTAGGGATGTAGCCCGCTTGCTAACCAGGTCCCTGTAGCACACCCTTCTGGCAGGAGTAAATGCCTTGCCCACCCGCTTTCAAGTACAATCAGACCTAGGTTTGATTTCCTGCAGCACCTGAGCACCTTGGTTATTTCTAACACCTTTTCAGAAGTTCAGTTCCTCACTTACTCCTTCTACATTTTTTTAGGAGACTCTTACTTTTGCTCCCTCTGTTTGATTCACACAAGAAGGAAAAATATCAGTGGTTTCTATTTATAGGGCAATTTGGAGTTTTTACTCTAAAAAAAGCACCTGTTAGCCCTGTCAACCTTTCCATGTTTTTTTTTCCCTCTGTTCTTAACCATGATCCTTTATAAAATAGAGGACAGAGAGTTACATTCACTGTTAATCCTTTCTTTTCCTGTCTGGCTCAGAGTCTACCTGAGGGAGCAAAGATGTTCATATTGTGCATGGGAGATGTACATAAAAGGAAACAGTACAATATTGCATAAATAATGATAAATGATCATGAAGGGCTACCTCCCAAGGGCTCAGGGAAGAATTATGGGATGTGATGTTCATTTTATGTCATTTTTTGTCTTATGATCTATTCAGGAACAAAGTTTAAGGGAGGGAGACATGGATTCTAAGATTTTTGCCCCATAAGAAGGAAATTAAAAGAATTTAGATGAGTGAGAAGAGTCCAGCCCTATAAAATAAGTCAGCTAAGGTAGTCACAACCATCGAGGGGACCTAGGTTTCAGTCTCAGGATTGTGTGCTGGGGTTAAATTTCTCAGGCTGTAAACCAATAGAGAACCAGTGAGGCAGGATGCCTTGTTACCTAATCTCATAAGGAGCAGCTGGGCATAACCCAATTGTTATCTATGTGTTGTTACAAATCTGGCGGGAGCCTATTGAGGAATGGGTGTGTGAATAAGCCCAGAAAAGGAAGTCACGGTAGGGAATGTCAGATAGTTATTCCAACGTTCCCCAAAGGAGAAAGTGTCCTGTCCAAGTCATTGGTTTGTTCTGACCAGTTCACCCTGCATTCAGGAACATAGCTCAATTCCATTTACTATCATAACGAGTATCGTCATCAAATGCTGATATTTGCCAGATGTTGTGCCAAGTGCTTTCATACATTGCTTCATTTAATCTTCTTAGTAGCCCTAAAGTCTGACTACTGTTTTTTTTTTTTCCCAATTTTGTAAATGAGGAAATTGAGGCTTAAAGAGGTCAAGTAATCTGCTCAGGTGTGCAGAGTCAAGGAATTTCTTTTTATTTCCAGATCAGTTTCCCTTCCCACATTCTGAGTGCTAGACCCCAGCCAGTGGTCTCTCAGATTTTCCAAGCATCAGAGCAGACTAATGCTTTCTCTTGTCCAAATCAGTGTCTCTCAATGTTTCCTGCCTTGCCCCCACCCAATTGCAAAAGTTCATGCCTTAAACTAAATAATCAGATGATACTTTCCCCTATAAATTTGCCTATAATAAAAGGGTAAGATGTGGTAGGAGGCAGACTTTAACATTCTGGCCAATTTATAAAGTATCATTTCAGTTAATAAGCTGTCCTTTGGCTATGCATTGGATTCTGACGTGTCTTGGTAATTTTCTTCTCTGTTAAATGGTAACTAACTGCCAAAGTTGGAAAATGCTACTGAGCCCTACTATGTCACTAATTGATCTCATCTTTCATGATTCAGGAAGACCTGTCCCAGATGATTGGTCAAGGTGTGGTGGCAGACCATCAGAAGACACTGGAGTACCCAACTGATGATGTATGTAACTTGTACTTAGGTTTTGCTCTACTGGTGTGATGTGCAATATAAACTATATTCTAGAAGAAGTGGAGGTGATTACCATAAGATCAAATCCTTTATCACTTAATAAATAAAAAAATATAAAATTTCCATTATTCACTATTTGTATGTTTCAGAAACTGTAGGTAACTAGAGCTCAAAAGGAGTGTATGATATTTCAAACACTGCCAAAGAAAATCCCTTTGAAAATTCTCTGAGATTCTATGCTAAAAGCCTAAATTAAAAAAAAAAAAAAAAAAAGATGTAGCTAGGCTCAGGAGTTACATAGCTCCATGGTTATATACTTGCCTAGCATGTATAAGGCCCTGGGTTTGATCCCTAGCACCTCAAAAAACCAACCAATCAATAAATGTAAAAAGAACCTTGCAAAATAATCAAATTAAGTTCAATGGAAACTCATAAGCAATTTTTTTTCATTTAAAACCAGATTTTTGTGTTATGTAATGTGTTTACAAATCCTGTTAATGTGTTAGCATTTTATATATTATTGTTCATCTCAAGTCATGTATAAAGCATCTCTAAAATTTCATAACCATTGAATTTTTAAGCTGAGGTAAATCCTAACATTATCTGGCTTTTCTTCTCCCTTCTTAAAAATGTGCACTGAGATGTCTAAAGCATTTTCCTCTGGGAAAATAATAAGCCTTTTCTGTGGCTGCAGAAGAGAAATTATCAGAGATCAGTGGGGCAGCATCTGCAGTGAGGCCAGGTTAGCTCATTATAGAGATCTTCCCAACTGTTCAAGCTGCTCCACATGGCATGAGCTTCTTCATGGAAATGGAATTTTCCATCCCTGAAGATCATCAGTGAGAAGCTCCTGATAGCTTATTAGCATGTTAAAAGAGGACCAAAAAAAGAAAAAAGAAAGAAAGCATTAGTAGGGTTGGGTTATAGCATGTATGTAGCCCTGGATTCCATCTCCACCCAGCTCAGGTCAGGAAGATCTGTCCCTTCAGAAAAAAATAAAAATTAATAGTTATTCTTAATTGGGTTCCTAGGTTATTCCTGGCATAGTAATAGATTTATTTATTTATCCCTAACCTTCATGATAACCTTGCAAAATACAGATGCATCACTCTCAATTTACAGATGAGGAGGTTAAGTGACTTGTCTATGGTCATAAAGTTAGTGGAGTGGTAGCAAATTTAGCAATTCATGTCTTCTTTTAAGTAGTGATTTTTTTTTTCTTATAATGGGGACCTGAAAAAGTGGAACACTTTTCTTCAAAAAATCCTAATAAGTGTAATTTTGATACAACCACAGAGGTTTTACAACTCCCAGAATTCTGTCTGTGAACCTCTCAGAAGCTCTGAGTTAATTCATGATTCTTCATCGACAGTGGCACACACCTATAATCCCAGCTACTCAGGAGGCTGAAGCAGGAGGATCACACATTCCAGGCCAGCCTTGGAAACTTAGCAAGACCCTGTCCCAAAATCAAAAATAAAAAGAGCTGGTGATATAGCTCAGTGTTAAGAGTGCCCCTGGGTTCAATCTGTAGTGCCAAAAAGGAAAACAACAACAACAAAAACCCATCATTTTTAACTTTAAACAATAAAGTCTCAATTTTTAAAAAGAAAGAAAGGAAGAGGGAGGAACACTTTCCCTGGACTTCGTACCCTTTGCTATTTATTTGGTCTGGAATGGAGGGAAGTTTTTTTTTTTTAACTTCCTAAGTATTCCTGTTGTGAGACAGGGTTGAGAATCACTGGTTTAATTGGGTTGGATGACGTGCAAAATCCACTCCAACTTTATAATCTGTTATAGTGATATACGACAGCAAATCCATTCTCTTCTTCTCCATACTTAGTAGTTTGATTTTGTGCTAATGGATGAGCCACAGGAGACCAACTTTACCTGTCACCACACCTACCAGCAATTGTTCTGCCTCTGCATCTATGGTTAGATGTTCCATTTGATCTCCATAGACTGTGTCCTTATTTTTATTGTTTTTTGGTTTGGTTTTTTGCAGTGCAGGGGATTAAACCCAGGGCCTTACACAAGCTACACAAGTGCTCTACCACTGAGCTACATTCTTAGCCCCTATTTTCTTATTTTTAAGTTGAATTCAATTCTACCTGTATGTATTTTTTAAAATATTTTTTAGTTGTAGATGGATATAATACCTTTATTTTATTTATATATTTTATGTGGTACTGAATATCAAACCCAGTGCCTCACACGTGCCAGACAGGCACTCTACCACCGAGCCACAACCCCAACCCTTATTTGTCATTTATTAAGCACCAGAGGCTACATGGAACTGGGTTACAGAGAAGAGCTACAACCATTCCCTGCTTTTATAAAAGTCCTGATCTAGTAACTGTTTACTCTGTACTTTCCTGTTATAAAATTCATATGGTTTTTTTTTTTAGAAAACAACAACAAAACTTGTAGCTTGCCTTTGGGTTTGTTGGGAATGCATGTTCTTTCTTGAGACAATGCAAAGTGAAAGCTGGATGTAAAGTACTATAAGAGTTAAAATACAGACTCAATTGCTGCAAGAAGCTTCTATTTCACAAGGCAATCTGGGTGTAATCAATTTCAGCATGCTGTTGTGTCTCCACAGTGTCATGGAACCTCTTATCTGATAACCATTCTTACTGGATTACCTCCGTCCAATCATGACATCTATTTTCTGGTCTAAGATGGCTGCTGTATTTATTACTGGTACAGCTGCATTTCAGCCAGGCTGGAGGGAAAGGCAGGATCTTTCTCTTTAAGAGAACGACCTGGAAACTACACGCCCACTGACCAGGACTTCTGGGCACACCTGCCTTCAAGAAGGCTGGTAGATGTGATCCTCTATGCAGCTGGCTATCTCAGTTATTTCAGTGCTCAGTTTTCTGGTACTAACCCCTTTGTTGTCTTTTTTCCACTTTTCTCTCTTTAAATTCACTGCTCAGTATATAACTGAGTCTTTAAAATATATGTACAGTCACTAATAAATGATCATGATAGAAAAACTGCAAGGAAAAAACTAAACCCCCATAGAATTATGGCCTAGCAGCTCTTTGGTAAATGCTTTAAACTTGTAGTGTTCTTCACCTACTGACTTTCAGTCTACCTCTTACTCAAATTAGCTATGTGATTTGAGGGTTGTCACTTGACATTTGTGTCTTGATTTATAAAAACAAAATATTATTGACTAACTCTCAGGGCTGTTCATTGATCGATGGGTTCACAGATATACAAGTGTTTTGAAAACTAGAAGCATGATGCCCTGTGCTGAGAAACAGCCCTTCCATGGCAGAATCTTGAAATGTTATGGTTCTGGAGCAGTTCTTGGTCCTATTTCTAGACTCCAGGATCAGCCTGGTGCCTCACTACATCCACCAGAATCCTCCAGCTGGGGATGGGTTCCCTGACTAACAACAAATCCAGAAGGCAGGTCAGGTCACTGCCTCTTTCTTAACTGCCTGTTAAGCAAGCATGGAGTCCTTTTGTCTTCTCTCAGTGTTTTAATATTCATTGGGGGTATCATCAGCAAAATCCAGAATTACAAGTTAATTTTCCAAAGCTCACACAGAAGTCCCCATAGGTCACTCAATTGCATGTTAACTTGCAACCCTGAGTTTCCCATGTCTTTAGTTTTGATCTTCTGTACCTGTTCATTCATTCATTCACTCATTCATTCATTTATCAAACATTTATTGAGTACCTGCTATTTTCCAGGCACTGGGTATCAAAGGTAAATAAGGGACAGTTCCTTTAGATGAATTAAATGTAATTGATGTACCTGGCATTTAGTAGGCATTCACTGGATATTTCTTTCCCCTTCCTTCCCCTGGTGTTGTTATTATTAACCCACCTAATGTATCTTTGACTATTGTTTGTGTATCCTGCAGAGAAAGACAGTGTTGTGTGCTCAGAAAATCTGCAGCATAGATTGTTTTTCACTGAGCTCAGACAGACATGTGGACTTGATATTGTTTTTCTCCAGCCCAGCTTCATATACAGATCACAATGATGAAGCACCTTCAGCTTTCTTCCTTCCTTTCTTCCTTCACTAAAGAATCTTACCTATAAAGTTAAACAGGGAAGCATGGGGCAAAAATCAACCTAATTACTCTTGCCACCTTCCCCATCCTTAAGTCTCAAAAGACAGTATTGGAATGTACTTTTATTTCGGTATCATGTTACCACTCCTGTCAGTCTTTGATGTTCATCTAATTTTCCTTCCTTTCGTAGGCTGCCAGCCAGATGAAAGAGCAAAAATATTCAACAAAAGCCTCCTTCAGTTCACAAGAGATACCGTTAGCGCCAACTCCATCATATCATTCATCGGATACCGACTTCACCAGCTGTGGTATGATTCTTTCCCCTGAGCTGCATTGACTTATGAAATATTAGAGAAGGAAGGGATCATGGTGTCCTAAAAAGAGAACTGGACCAGAGACAGGGAGTTCTGCACCCCTACTCCATTCCTCAGCTTTGGAACTTGGATAGATCACTGTACTTCCTAAACCATTTCTCCATCTGTGCCGTTGGTGTTGCCTACTACTGGTGGAATATAAAAGAACTGGAACAGACAAGTCCCGTAGTAAATGCTGTTTGTTTTTCTGTTTGTTGGTTTGTTTTGGCTTTGGTAGTGGTGATCACCCAGAGCCTTGTGCATGCAAGGCACATACTGTACCACTGAGTCATCCCCAGCCCAGTAATTGCTATTTGAGTCTGGCCTGATAGATTAATCTCTAGTCACTGCAAAATATTATATTTAGGTCATGATTAATATCTTAAAAAATCATATTGAACCCAAATTTTAGCACTACATGTTGATGTAAGCCATTTGAAGATTTATTTTCAGTGCTTAAAGAAATTGATGTGTACTTTCTTTCTTTAACTTCCTGGCTTGAATTATGCTGACTGAGGGTTGAACACAGAACTTTGAAATGAACAACAGATATTTCCACTTTGGTTTTATGCAATATTAATCAGTGAAAAATGGATGCTTTGAAACACTACTCTCACCATTGGCAAAACATAACCCTGTGTTAATTCAGCAGGCCTGATACCTTTTGGTATTATTTGTCTTTAATGTCTATGTGTATGCAGTGCTGGAAATTGAACCAAAGGCCCTTGCATATGCTAGAAAGCATTCTATCACTAAAGTACATAATCAATCCTTTTCTTAAAAAAAAAAAAAAAAAGTTGTTTTGAGATAGGACTTTGCTAAGTTGCCCAGTGCTGCCTCAAACTTGCCATTCTCCTGCCTTAGCCTCCTACGTAGTTGGGATTACAGGTGTGCATCAGCATGTCCAGCTTGTCTTTAGTATATTTTTTTCATAAATATTAACTTTTTTATAAAAAGTTTATCCAGTAGGTTTTATTTTAAAGCACTGTGTTTATAGTAAAATAATTAATGAACATGATCAAGAAACTATGGCCTGTGAGTCAAATGTAGCCTACTACCTCTTCCTGTTTAGTTTATGAACTTAAAATGGTTTTTACTTTTTTAAAATAGACATAATACCTTTATTTATTTTACATATTATTTTTTAGTTGTTGATGGACTTTTATTTTATTTATTTATATGTGGTGCTGAGAATCAAAACCAGTGCCTCACGCATGCTAGGCAAGTGCTCTACCACTGAGCTACAACCCCAGCCAGGTTTTCACATTTTTATTTTTTATTTTTCACATTTTTCAAGGTTGGGAAAAAAGCCTATTTTATGAAAATATGAAATTCATATTTCCATGTTCACTAATAGTTTTATTGAGACTCTCATGTATTTACACAAATGAGTAAACAGCATGCTGCTTTCACACTATAAAGATGGAATTAAGTAGTTGCATCTGAGACTGTATGGCCAGCAATCTGCAAAATATGTATACCTGGACTTTGACCAAGAAAAATTGCTGACTCGATGTGTAGACAGTTGAATTTTGGTAATATATATCAGTATCTATACCAAATAAGAGAAATTTATGACTTTACATTTTAATTTATGGGAATTTTATTCATTTCTCACCCACTTTCCAAACATTTATTGAAGAATTGATATGATCCCGATTTGGACCGAATTCTATTAAGAGAAATAAATTCAAAGACTGACTCAGGATTCGCTAGGATAAGGAAGGAGCAGAGGAGGGAAAGAAATGCCATCTCCTGTATCTTTACTGTATTCTCTCCTCATTCGGGAGAGTAAGCTGGTCATTTACAAAAGCAATATAAACTTTTAAAAGCATCCGTGAAATTGTGCCAGTATTGTCCATCATTTTTATTGTAAATTAACAGGAGTGGCAATGTGAACTATATATGCTGCTCAAAGATCTAGAAACAGATTAGGTTTACAATTTAATATTCTTCTAATAGGGCACTTTTATTGTTACTGAGGTTGTATCACTAAATTTCTTTTAACTGGGAGACCATTAGATGAATAAATTCCATGTGAACAGTACAGCCAATGTGAAGAACCAAGTAGTTAATATTTTAGCCTCACAGGCCAGATGTTCTCTGTTACAGCTACTCAACTGCCCTTGTAGTGTCACAGCAGTCATAGACTATACATATGTGGGCTAGTAGGCTGTATCCAATACAGGTTTATTTATGGAAACCAAAACTTGGGTTTCATATACCTTTTACATGAATGGAAATATTATTTTTTTTAATTTTTTTTTTTTTTTTTTTTTGCATTTTGAAAATGTAAAAACCAGTTTTGGCCAAAGGGCTGTAGTATGCAGTCCCCTGCTTATTATATAATCTAATGAAGCATTGTGGATTTCATCTTGGTTTCTGTGCACTAACTACAGCTCACCAGCAGATGGGGCCCTCTTTTCTCAGCCTTTTAAATTATATCACAATGTAGGAATCAGTCCTCAAGATGATCAGTCTTAGTTATTAACAGAAAAGTTGGCATTGTCTAGAAATTTCTATTTACTAAGAGTCTCTTGAAACTAATGTTTTGAATGTTTTGACTTTTTCTGTGTGCGTGTGTGTGTGTGTGAGAGAGAGAGAGAGAGAGAGAATGAATGAATGAATATGTGTATGTACTGGGGATTTAACCCAGGGATGCTCTACTACTGAGCTACATCTTTGTTCTTTTTATTTTTTATTTGAGTCAGTGTCTGGTTAAGTTGTCCAGGCTAGCCTTGAACCCACGATCCTCCTGTCTCAGTCTGAGGCACTAGGATTACAGGTTTGTGCCACCATGTCTGGAAGAATGTTTTGTTTGTTTGTTTGTTTAATAGACTAGGTTTATTTGTCTGGTAAATGCACATATATAGAAGTGGATCAAGGGGTGTTATTAAACCTCTTTTTTTGCATATATTTTTTTTTAGTTTTTAGAAAAATCCATTCTTAAACAATGATTTTTTTTTCTTTATTTCTTTTTGTTTTGTTTTTGGTATTGTGTATTTAACCTGGGGATGCTTAACTATTGAGCTACATGCCCAGCCCTTTTTTTTTTCATTTTGAGATAGGGCCTCACTAAGTTGCTTAAGCCTTGCTAATTTGCTGAGGCTGGCTTCAAACTTGGCAATTTCCCTGCCTCAACCTCCTGAATTTCTGGGATTACAAGTGTGCATACTATACCTGGCACTAACACAATGATTTTTTTTAAAGTGAAACTTATAGATCAGCAGTAACTCCTTAAAAGACTCTCACTAGGGGCTGGAGTTGTGGCTCAGCAGTAGAGTTCTCACCTAGCATATTTGAGGTCCTGGGTTCAATCCTTAGCACCACATAAAAGTAAATTAATAAAAAATAGGTATTGTGTCCAACTACAACAAAAAATTAAAGTATTTTTAAAAATTCTCACTAATGGATCCAGCAAGTATTCTTGAATGTTTTTTATAATAGTTTTTTTAAAAAATATTTTTACTAGTATATTTACAGGGTGAGTATCCCTTGCCTAAAATGCTTAGGACTAGAAGTATTTCAGATTCTGGATTTTAGAATATTTGCATATACTTAATGAGATAGCTTGGGATGAGACCCAAGTCTAAACACAAAATTCATTTACATTTCATATCTACCTTATATATGCATTTTAACTGGACTATTACCCATCCTATGAAGAGAGGAATGGAATTTTCTTTTTTCTTTTAATTTATTGGCAGGACTGGGGGTCAACCCATGACCCCATGACCCCATGCATGCGAGATGGAACTTTCCACTTGTGCCAGCATCCTGTCAATGCTCAGAAATTTTTGGATTTCAGATTTTTGGATTAATGATACTCAACCTGTAATATATTTGAAGATAAATTTTAAGTAATTGTTGGATTCATACTTTATTGATTAAATATTTTATATATTATAATCCATATATTGTGTCTAACTGAAAGTATTTAAGCACTTTTAGTGTTTTATAACTCAGGATCTCCTGGCATACTAAACTTTTTTACTCATTATAACATATGACTTTATGTACCCAATGGCTTAATTATGTTAAATTTTCCCCTGATGGTTCTCATGATGTGTTTTGAGGTTTAAACAACTTTAAGCAGATCTAAGATCCATCTGGGGTCTCTGGTTTGCTTCAAGGGGGCTGGGGATGTAACTCAGTGGTGAAGCGCTGGCCTGGCATTCGTGAGGCCCTGGTGCAAGCCCAGCACCACCAAAAAAAAAAAGTCATAGGAATGTCACATTTCATCCCTGAGTGAATGACCAAGGTTTTTCCTTCATGATTCTTGGCAGGAGAAGAGTGAAATGATAAACACATGCAAACTCTGTGCTCTGCCAGTAATGAAGCATGTAGGCCAGACTGCCTCTCATTATTCTGTCTTTCTTTCCCCCCGCCAGGTAGCTTCCAGGCTCCTCTGTCAGTGGATCCTGCAACGTGTCCCATTGTCCCTGGCCAGGAAATGATTATAGAAATATCCAAGGGACGCTCAGGCCTTGGTCTCAGCATTGTGGGAGGAAGAGATACACCCTTGGTAAGTTTCTATGTAAAATATATCGATTATCCCAGAATTAACTGTTGGGGCTCTTTATGGCCCTGGAACACATCTATGGAAGACTCAGCCTTTTAATATTATGGGAAATATCATGTGCTTCCATAAAATTGCCAGTTTTCAAGTGTTTCTTTTCTTTTTTTTCTCCTTTCTTTTTTTTTTTTTTTCAGTTGTAGATGGACACAATACTTTTATTTATTTTTATGTGCTGCTGAGGATTAAACCCAAGGCCTCACACATGCTAGACAAGTGCTCCACACTGAGCCACAACTCCAGCCCCTCAAGTTTTTCTGAACATGTAATTTTCACCAGGAGTTTCTCCATCTAGGACTTTGAGGGTTTTTGTAAAGACCAATTAGACCTATAGGAGCACAGCATTTAGAAGTACTAAAACAGTATTTAGAGCAGTGCTTGGCACATGGTAAGTGTTCAGTAAATAGGAACTATTATTATCATCCTCCATTACCATTGTTACTTAATGGAATGATAGATAAAAAGTAAACAAGCCAGGTACAGTGGCACATGCTTTAATCCCAGGAACTCAGGAGACTGAGGCAGGAGGATTGTAAGTTCAAGGCCAGACTCAGCAACTTAGCAAAACGCTAAGTAACTGAGTGACACAATGTAGTGGTAAAGCACTTTGGGGTTCAAAAAAAAACAATATAAATATCAGAGGCTACAGGTGTAGAGCATTGTAGAGCATTTTCCTAGCATGCACAGGGTCCTAGATTTCATCCCCAGTACCAATTAAAAAAAAAAATAATAATATATATATAAATTATTCGAGCCAAAAAAATTAGAGTTCGAATAAACTGATAATTTTTTTTTGAAAAACTAGTCTAGATTCTTAGCTTTTCCTAGGATGATTTTTTAATTGTTCAGTACCTTTTATATGTCACTATTCAATAATGCATTGAAATATAAAACTTTCTGTGTGTGCTTTTTTTTTTTGCTCAATATGTGATTAATCAGTGCATACATATTAGAATCAGGTAATACATGCATGTTGAATCAAGTTAGATAGGCATAAAAGGCTGTAAAATGAAAAACAAATCTCCCTCCCACTCTTCAGCTCTATTCAGCCTGCTCTTTACCACCCACCCAACCACCCCAAAATAGGGAATCGCTTTTATCATGAATGTGTATTTAAGTGAATGTTTATTTTTAATGTTTATTCCTAAGTTTTAGGTGGACACAATATCTTTACTTTACATTTATGTGGTGCTGAGGATCGAACCCAGTGCCTCGTGCATGCTAGGCGAGTGCTCTACCACTGAGCCACAACTCCAACCCCTTAAATGAATATTTTGATATTTCCTTTGCCCATTTATCTAGTAAGGCATGAAGTATATGGGCCAGGTTTACAGGTAAAACAAATACATGATCCATGAACTATTTTTTTTCCATTTGGGGCAGGAGCATAATGTTTCTGTGTTGTACCTTTGGGGAGTGGGGAGATTCTTTTGTTCTTCTGTAATAAATACTAATCACCTAAAGCAACAGAAGAGTCCAAGAACTACAGGTATTGCAGAAACCCACTTTTACTGTCTCTTCCCTGTTCACTGGCCTGATCTAGAGAATCCTGGCATGTGGCCACATACCAGTCATTTAGTCATCTATGCACATAGGGTAATAATGTCAGGTTCATCCTACTATCCTTCTTTCCCCCATACTCCCTTCCCTCCCCTCTACCTAATCTAAGGTAACTTGATTCTTCCCTAGCTCCACCGCCCCCCCTGATTATGAATTAGCATCCATATATCAGAGAAAACAGTCGGTCATTGTTTTTAGGGGATTGGCTTATTTCACTTAGTGTGATAGTCCCAAGTTCCATCCATTTACCTGAAAAGGTCATAATTTCATTCTTTTAAGGCTGAGTAATTTTCCATTGTGTATATACATACCACATTTTCTTTATTCATTCATCTGTTGAAGGACACTTAGGTTGATTCCATAGTTTAATAATTATGAGTTAAGCAGCTATAAACATTGATGTGACTGCATCACTATAGTAGGCTGATTTTCAATCCTTTAGGTATGAACCAAGGAGTGCGATAGCTAGGAACAAATAGTGTTTCCATCCCAAGTTTTCTGAGGAATCTTCATACTGTTTTCCAGAATGGTTGCACCAATTTGCAGTCCTACCAGTACATCCTGGCCAACACTTATTGTTACTTGTTTTCTTGATAATTACCATTCTGACTGGAGTGAGATGAAATCTCAGTGTAGTTTTAATTTGCATTTATCTAATTGCTAGCAATGTTGAACATTTTTTCATATATTTGTTGACTGATTGTATTTCTTCTTTTGTGAATGTCTGTTCAGTTCTTTAGCCCATTTATTGATTGGATTATTTGTTTTTGTGGTGGTATTTTTTGAGTTCTTTATATATTTTCTCCAATTCTGTAAGCTCTCTGTTCATGTTCTTGATTGTTTCCTTTGTTGTGAAGAAGACTTTTAGTTTGATACCATCCCATTTATTGAATCTTCATTTTACTTCTTTACTTTAGTATTCTTCTTAAGGAATTTGGTTCCTAAGCAGACATGATGGAGAGTTGGGCCTACTTTTTTTTTCTAGTAAGAACAGGGTCTCTGGTCTGATGCTTAGGTCTGTGGTCCACTTTGAGTTGAATTTTGTGCAGGATATCAGATAGGCATCTGATTTCATTTTGTTACATATGGATTTCCAGTTTTTCTAGTACCATTTGTTAAATAGGCTACTTTTCTCCATTGTGTGTTTATGGTGCCTTTGTCTAATATGAGATAACTGTATTTATGTAGGTCTGTCTCTGTGTCTTCTATTCTGTACCATTGGTCTTCATGTCAGTTTTGGTGCCAATGCCATGCCATTTTTATTACTATAGCTCTGTAATATAACTTAAGGTCTGATATTGTGATGCCTCTGCTTTACTTTTTTCACTGAAGATTACTTTGGCTATTCTGGGTCTCTTATTTTTCCAAATGAATTTCATGACTTGTTTTCTATTTCTATAAAGAATATCATCAGAACCTTAATAGGAATTGCATTAAATCTGCATAGTGCTTGTTAGTGTGGCCATTTTTGACAGTATTCTGCCTATACAAGATCTTTCCATCTTCTATGGTCTTCTTCAATTTTTTTCTTTAGAGGTCTGTAGTTTTCACTGTAGAGGTCTTTCACCTCTTTTGTTATATTGTTTCCAAATATTCTCTTTTTTTAAGGCTATTGTGAATGGAATAGTTTTCCTACTTTCTCTTTCAGTTGATTCATTACTAGTGTATAGGAATGCAATTGATTTATGGGTAGTTTACCTCTTTTTACTTTGCTAAGTTCATTTATGAGTTCTAAAAGTTTTCTAGTGGAGTTTTTTTTTTGGGGGGGGTCTTCTAAATATAGAATCATGTCATTGGCAAATAGGGATAGTTTGAGTTCTTCCTTTCCTATTTGTATCCCTTTAATTTCTTTCTTCTAATTGCTCTGACTAGAATTTCAAGGACTATGTTAACTAAAAGTGGTGAAAGAGGTCAACCCTGTCTTGTTCCATTTTTTAGAGGGAAGGCCTTCAATTTTTCCTCATTTAGAATGATGTAGCTCAGGTATGGTTCTACTATCCATAGTTGTTCTAGTGTTTGAATGTGAAGGGGTTCTATATTTTGTCAAGTGCTTTTTCTGCATCTATTGAGATAATCATGTGATTCTTGTTTTTAAGTTTATTGATATGATGAATTACATTTATTGATTTCCATGTTGAACCAACCTTGCATTCCTGGGAGGAACCCCCCCCTTGATCATGGTACACTAGCTTTTTAATGTATTTTTGTAGGTGTTTTGCCAGTATTTTATTAAGAATTTTTACATCTATGTTCATCAGGGATATTGGTCTGAAATTTTCTTTCCTTGATGTGTCTTTGTCTCTGATTTAATTTTTGTAAATATGTCTTCTTATATTGTTTAATGTAGGCACAACTAGATTTGCCATAGGAATCAGAGTTCATTCAGCATGGCTGGCCTGGCTGAATGAGTTGTGGCTTTTGTTTCTGTCTTTGTTGTTGGTACAGTTTTGCTCTTGTGGATTACTCAGATTTGTGGACAAGATGTGCCCATGCTGTTCTTGGGTCTGTAATATCTAATCTGCTTGGACTCCAGGTATCAACCTGTGGACATTCGCTGAGCCATGTCACCTCCTGTAACTTGGGTGTGAAGCCTTTTGTTGAATGCTTCTCTTATCACCATGAGGCAGCCAAAAATAAAATTCTTTAAAGCATCATGAGGTTCATAATATATAGTTCTGCCTTTTGAGACCATAAATCCCATTGTCCTTGGAAGGATAAGCACCACTTAAAAATGAGGGATGGGACATAGTTTTTATTTCCTAACCTCATGTACCTCGTCAAAACCTATAAGTTAGACTCACAAGAAGATAGATTGGCCTGTCATTTTAAAGAGAGAAAAGCAGGGGGATAGAAGGTACTTTAACAAATAAATCCACTGTTCCCACAATGAAGATCTTTGTTTTTTTCTTTTTCTATTCCCCCTTAAATTTCAGTATGGAACATGCAACCTAATTGACTCTCTGGGTCACATTTTTCAGTCAGGTCTTGGGTTTGCATCCATCCAGCAAGAAGTTCACAAACAAAAATGAAAGCTTTTGAAAGGGACTTGTACAAAGTGTTGAGGCCCAGCATGAAAAGTGCTCTGCACATGAGCTTATGTGATACATGCTCTCTGCAGCTCTGTAGCAGGGAAAAGTACATTCTGAATTTCACCCCACCCTCCCGGTTAGGGTTTCCATGTCCTCTTTGTTGTGTGGCCAGCAGATATCTGGGGCATCTTTAGAGGAATTAAGTCTCTGGGACCTAGTCTTGATACCACATCAGTCGTCTCTTCTATAAATAGTTTCTCTCGGGCCAAGACAGATGGCTCCTGAGATCACAGGGGAGATCGCACTCACTGTCCCATTGTGTCTGCAGCTGGGTGTCCAGGCCAGCCTTTTAAGTACCAA